ATTATCCGGACAGTTCTATAGTAAAATTCAACGAATACTAAAGTATCGTAAGTTTCACCCGTATAAGTTCTTTCCAGTGCACCATAAAAGGCAGAGGCTCGAAATTTGCGCCCAAATGTATAGAAGATCTCAAGAACATGGAAATTTTCTAAGTAAAATAACATTTACGGACGAGGCTTCGTTCACAACGGCAGGTACTACAGTACAAATAACAATCAATTTATCACATTATATTCACATTACGAATACCACAGACAACTACTAAGGTAGTCATCCATAAATTCATTAATAGAACAATAACCATCGCGTATAAGTAGTTTTTTAACTTGAGCCGTAACTGAAACTTGCTATATTGGATTCGAGCCTCGCAAAATCAAAAGATAATTTATTCTGTCGGCTAGTATTGTAGTTGCTTGAAATTATGTTAAAATTTTCTAAGCTATCATAAGCGAACATATACAGCGTGACCCAGTTAAAAATTGCCCACCCTTGTAAGATCTTTTTGGTTTATGGTTCGATTTTGAAATGCAGGCAGTGGGAATCTAAGAACGGAAGTCAGTTGATGTATGGCGTGGTGTGTTGAAAAATATGGTAGAACAGTTGTTAAAAAAGGTGCGAGTTAGGTATTATTTAAATTCAATTTGGCATCCAGATGGCGCACCTCCACATGATGTTCAACCGGTTACCGATTATCTAAATAATAAGTATAGACGACCGGAATCCTTGCGACTTTTTTTGTAGGGATACTTAAAAAATAAAATTTATTAGAAGGGGCCTGAAAGTTTACAAATGATAAGAGAAAAACTTAATATCGTTTTACACAATCTAATTAGAGAAAACCCTGATTTCATCAGTATAAGTATTGTCCTATGTATAGAAAATAATGGAGGTTATATGGAAAATGTTTAACATTAATTATTGATATGTTTATTTTTTTATTTATCTTTAGTTTTGATCAGTTGTCAAAAGTAGCATATTGTTAAAACAATTGCAAACATAGATAATATGGTTGCTGTCAACGCGGACTTGACCATTTTTAAACAATATGGCTATTGTCCAGAAATCGAATGATAATTATTTTCAAACTCAAAAACGGCTAAATGAAATGTCAATAAGCTATATGTTTTTCAAATCAGGAAAAGAAGATCTACGATTTAAAGTAATAACATATAGGGCATTCCATTTAAAGAAAATGACGCTGCGGTCATTCTGACGGCTTGCGATCGTCATTTGTTTTTTCTCACATTTGCATCAGATGATAGAGCAGAAATCTTCAAACTTTTGTATTTACACTTTTTTCTCCATCTTAAAGCTGTAGGTGGGTGTCAAAATATAATGAATAACCCTGTACAAAGCCGTTATCGGGTTATTCGACCCCGTAGGATCAGGCCTACCACCTGCTAAACGGCCAGTCCATTAATCAGCGACCTGCGTGTAACGGACGCGGAACGGGCAGCACGATCATTTAGCGTATTTCTCGAATGAATTATTTTGTTTATTATTGTTATGAGGCGTGATTGCGCAATATGTGGACCGGATAATTATGGAGAAGCTATTTAGGTCTGACATGCCCGAGTTCTTTGCCCAAATCCCGTTCTGGGCATTGCATAACGCAAAATGTAAAACAATGTCTTGGTAATTATCACCAGAAAGGCAAGGATGTAATTGGGATCCCAAATAGTATAGGAGTAGTGAGCGTGACACGTATCTGCACCCGGCAAACCCTGTAGCAAATCTGACGCCCGTATACCATCTTCGTCTCTGCTCGCGCTTCACTTTTTACACATTAATACTTTTTATACAGGACAAAAAGGTTCCTAAAGAAAGGTTATTAGACGGAAATGCATCAAAGGAAGAATTCGTGGGACTTAACTAAACTAAAACTAATTTATAATTTAGAGTGGAAACCGAACAAATCGAAGCCCGTACACACACACCATACACATCAAGTTACGAATGACTTAAGCTTCTTTTTATAAAACGTCTGGATTTCTTCTGCGTCGATTTTTGTCGAGTCGAACCAGCTAATATTTCGAAAATCATCAAACTGGCTCGCATTTTACTCTGTACCTGCTTATATATTGTTTGGGGGGCGGAGCTAAGTGAGGATCATTCATTGAACAATTAAAAAACATTAAATGAGGGCCATAAACACCGCCCCAGATGACTGATTGCCATATTGGTGACAGGTAGGGACCTGAGTCGCGGTTAAGATAGTTAGGTGGCTTATAGATTTCTGTACTGTCAGATTTGATTACATGCAGGAATTTTAGTTTTATCGAATAAAATTTCATGTCTGATTTCGTGAGTGTGTTCGACAACTGCTGATGAGTTTGTTTGGCTGTTTCATGTTGTTTGAGAATAGTTGATATTTTTCGTCCGGTCTCTCCAATGTATTCTTTGCCGCATATGCATGGAATGCTATAAACCGCATATTAAATGGAATGTTGTCCTTGACGGATCGAAGACATTTTTGGAAAAGTGGTAAACGTGACGTTTTGACGTTATATTTCGTTAGAAATTTTGATATGTGGTCAGGAAGAACAACAGTGGCAAGTGCGGGATTGCTTTCGGTTTCTTTGCTATTGGAAGGTTACGGTGAAGTGTATTTTGTGATGGACCGCTGTGGAAATTATTAGAGAGAAGAGAAGAGGTAAGGTGTTTTAATTCTGGGTTCAATGACCCGGGCTGTAAACAAGAGAGTTGATAACCGACGATTTTTGGGCCGGATGGTGATGTGACAATGCTTTAAGGTATCGGTCTGTGTGCGTAGGTTTTCTGTAAACACAATGACCCAATGTTTGGTCTGATTTTCTATTGATAAGGATATCTAAGAATGGAAGGTTATATTATAAAAGAAGCCGATGGGATGATTGGCGAAACGTCAGCAAGCTCGACTCAGCAAAAGCCGACGCAGGAGGAATCCAGAAGCTTTGTAAAAAGAATTACAGTAGCCTGTGAAAAATTACCTTAAATAAGAACAACCTATTTGTTTCCTCAGCAGCGGACAGGAAGAGGTGATCCAATTAGATGGCCACCTAGATCTCCTGATTTAAAACAGGTCGACTATTTTCTGTGTTAAAGCCCAGGTGTATAAAACTGCGGAAACGGCAGGGACGAAACACAAAATGGCTATAATTTCGAGAACACTCAGTATACAACCATATATTGGTAGATCGAGTATAAAAGGGGATATCAACTAATGCCTAATATACACGACGTTTCATTTAAAAATATATTTATTAACCAAAATAATTGTAAATGGTTCCATTAAGTCGCATCCTATGACTTTAATATTTCCGATTTTTCTCTAAAACTAATAATAAACGAGATATATTACTTTGGTGCACTATTTGGCAGCTGACGTCAGAAGAGGTGGAGCTGGGATTAGTTCCAGTTACCGCGTCGTAAATAAATAAAAATTACAGTATACGCTATATTAAAAAAAAGTTTAATTTTTCAAAATAATAGCTATCATCAAGCAGAGTTTTATATATAGCAGAACCAGCGCCCTCTACATTTTGCCTTTTGGCGCAACTAACACAATTGTGCTTGGATGTCCATCCCAATTGCCAGTTTTGATTTCAATTGGGATCTTCTTAATGTCATAGGATGGCGTGTTCAGATGCATTCTAATGTTAAAAATGAACACGAACTTTTTGGTGTTATTGAATCGGAGTACTTATTTTGAGGTTTTAAAATAAAAAATATGAATCGAAAAATGACCACGCACTTCAAAATTCCGGCATAATTTGGTAAATTAAAAAATTTTTACTGGTAATTTCGATTTAATATATTTCCAATATCTCGCGTGCGCCCTATGATAGTCGAGAACTGAAACTCTCCTTCGACGCAGTTTACGATAGCGGTCAAATCAAATTATCCCAACTTTAGCAGTTTCGCAGTTATCGCCAATAATTTACCCACAAAAACTGACGATTTCCTAATCTTTTTTGCCCCTAAACGACACAACTTGTATATAATTCAAACAATGTTCGAAATAGAGGTTATAGCCCCGGATCTCCCACCATTCCTGGTACAAGAATGGTTTCAGAAAACCTGTATTTTCTGTACGTCGTAATAATAAATGACGTCATCGCGTTTAGGTTGAGTGCGTGAAATGGTGATTTTCATTTGTATTTTATCAAGTATCTCGAATAGGGCAGACGAAAACCATAAACACAAAAATTGTAGCTATGGATGCGGAGAAAAATAGTTTTTTCTAGAAGCAAAAATAACCCAAAAATTCTTCTAAACTTTAAATGTGAGTACGGTCTTCTAAGCACATTTAAAGCATCTACTATATTTTATATTATAGCGCGAAATACCCTGAATACCCTGTACAATAAGCGAAAAACTTAAATACGAAAGTTTTAGCATATAAAAGAAACTGACAACTCAATCACAACCATCTAGTTAGTTATGCTCAATTATCCTTATAAAGGGAACCAAATTTTCAATTTTCAGTGTTTTTGCGAATTACCGACGCATTTTTTAAAAATCGAATACTTGCAAACGCGATTTTCAATTTTTTAAAAATACTTATCGACCCCCCAGCTCCCCCAATGTCATTAGGTTCCGTTTTTTACGTTTTTTTGAAGCGGACAGACAAAAAAATGTTTTTTCGACGCTGATTATTTCTGTCCCCTACGACAAGTAAGTAATTTATTCAATCCCATCAACAGATCGAATCAACCGATGTAAATTTATAAAAGACAAAACAAAAACAACCGTCACAGAGCGAAACTTTCTGCTGACCGCGGCGATGCCAATAGTTGCGAAAGTAAAAATTTCACGTCAAAAATTCCAACCAAAATATAAAGTGACCGAAAATCTGGTATCTTCGTGAGTAGGAAATATATAAAAAAATATGATTAATGATCTTTATTTAGCTTTTTTTATCTAGTAAGTAACGGACTTAATCTACCAGCCTTCTAATTATAGTAGTTTTATCTCTAGCTTTATTTACGCCCATAACCTGCGATTGAATCTTGTTCTAGGAATCGAAAAATCCACCAACAACCATTTGACAGCCACCAAATCTTACAGCAGCATCACGGACACGCTGAGCAGATCGAAAGGGGGTGAGTACGTGCTGACATCTGCCGTTCGAACGTGTAAATAACGGTCTTTCCTAAGCGTTCTATATGTCTCCGTAGCAAAGATTTCCACCACCCCTCGCATTCGGCCCCCGAAGGATAGAGGGCGTCGGTGGTTGCCTGCCGAACCATCGTCTCTAAAACGAAAGCGAAAACCGTACTAGAACGTTTCGATTTTAAAACCGTGAGCAGCTGAAATGTATATACTTCCACCAGAAATGTAGTGCTTTTACAACCGACCCCGTGGTTAACTGCCGAGTAACTTACCCGTAACCATTCCAGGACCGTCCTAGGAATTTATCAACCTACACTAACAAGCGGGATAGAAGTATGTTTTCAATCTTTTTCGCAGAGCAATTAGCGATAAAAAAATAGCACAAAGCAACAATTTATTACGTTATTTTTCATTACATTTTTTACATACTATCATTATTAATACACAAAACATTAAATATAATCATAATAAAGTGTCCGTCACTTAAAATATCACTATCACTATCACTACTGTCGTCACCTAGTTCGATGATGAAATTCGTCACTAATCGTTCTTGATAAATATTTTCTTCTTTTATTACTCGTTTTTCACTGTTAGATCAACTTTGTACTGACATTTTAGCAACCTCTTGCCGAAATACGTTTATGGTACTATCACTAATCAGACCAAATCATCTTAATCGGGTAAAATATTCAATGATAAGGATGTAATCTCAGATTTCATCATTTTCGTACAGAAATAAAGGTATGCCGCATTTAGTTTAACACATAATTCATGACGTAATTTTATTAACTAATGAAACAGCAGTAAGATGTAAATAATTCATCAATGAAAGCTGGTAACGCAGAGGTAAATTTAATTAAATCACAAAGTTAAAAGTTGATCAACTTTAAAATTAAATTAAACCTCAAATTAATTTTTTGTATAAATGCCACCGTTAAATAATTAATTAAGAATTAAATAACTTCATTGTCAGAGCAATCAAAAAAGTTATTTCAAAATTTAACTAAAGTCATTAAATAATGGTAATAATGGTTATCACTAAGATGCGGTCATAAATAAAAGTTGCCTCTACCATTTTCGGTCTTTGATAGAACCCCCAAGCATCGAATCAAACAATGTAAAACAAAACTAACCAAAACGTGTTTCGAAAATAACTAAATACGACGTTGAATCAATGAGTATTGATTGTTTTACTTGTGAGCAAAAAGTAAAATTCTTTGTCTTTTTGTGGGAACTTATCCTTGACAATATATCACTATTTTAATTGTTTTTAAATAATTTAATTTTTTGAGCTAGTTCCCTAACGTTCAAATTTTAAACTTTTATTTTTCGAGTAATTTAATTTGCCTTTTTGTGGGAACTTATTTTTGACGGTATCTCACTATTTTAATTGTTTTTAAAGATATTATTATTTGGGCAAGTTTTATATTATTCCAATTTTAAACATTTTTAAAACTTGCCCTTCATAATATATTACGATTTATTTGTTTTTTGAATGATATTATTATTGGAGAAAGTTTCCTAATATCAAAATTTTTAACCTTCCTCTTGGTAATATCTTACGATTTTAATTGTTTTATATGATTTTATTTTTTGAGCAAGTTTCCTATAATTATTTAAATTTTAAACTTTTTTAAGAGTTCCTTTACATAATATATTACGATTTAATTGTTTTTTAAATGATTTTATTTTTTGAACCAGTTTCTTATTATTCAAATTTTAAACTTTTATTTTTCGTCTTATACGAACATCCTATTGTAAAGATCTTACGATTCCAATTATTTTTAAATGATTTTATGTATATGCCAACGAACGATCCCGCGAAAATCACGCGTCCACCTGCGACGAAGGGCGAAAAATCCTGCGAGGCCCCCCGCGCCGGGGGTCAGCTCGCACGTGGCCCCCGCACGTGCCGGACCCACTCTACCGAGACTACCCGCTCTTTTCGCATTAATATTTTGCACTTATTTCACTTGAGCGAGTCCGTTGCGTGGGCTCCCCGCCCCCCCCCCCCCCCCACAATTGCCAACACGCGAATCTGGTAGTTAATGGTTTGTTGTTATTTCCAGTTTCTGTGATTATCACGTGAGCTGGAAGAACGCGTGAGAAAATATTTTGATGGTCGGCCTGCCGCCGAGGTCGTTAAATTAACGGTTTATTTTACGGGACGCCCCTGCTTAACGTACATTTTCAGCTATTGAAAAATCCGAGTCAAAAAACTCGACTTTTTTTTTTAAATTAAAATCTTTATATCTGCACATAAATAATTTACAATTTTTTTACAAAGCTTCTGTAATATCGGCCCAAACTACACAATAAAATATCGAAAATAACAAACTATCAATCTTAAGCGATAAGAAATGCACTTCTATACAGTCAAAAAATATTCTTTCAATTGTTTAATAAATATGAGGGCTGCGCCAAAATTGCCCGGCCTGAATATGAAAGAAACAAAGTGTAGTAACAATTTTTTATTATTTTTCGATATAAGCCCCCTTAACTTCAATACACTTATCACATCTCTTTATTAACAACTCAATACCTTTAAAAAAATATTCTTTTGGTTTGTCTACAAATTGAGCTAAAACAGCCTCTTTCAACTCAACTTCGTCGTTAAACCGCCATCCGCGTAAGTCCTTTTTTAAATATCGAAACAAATAATAGTCGCTGGGGGCCAAATCTGGACTATAGGGAGGATGATCTATCTGTTGGAACCCACACTCTAAAATGGCAGCTTGTGCAACACCAGCAGTATGGTCAGGTGCATTATCGTGTAAAAGACGCACGCCTCTGGTCAGTTTTCCTCGATGTTTTACACGTATACAGTCTCGCAATTTGTGTAATAATGTTGCATAATATTTACCATTGATAGTGGTATTAGTTTCTTTAAAATCTATCAAAAGAATTCCTTCACAATCCCAAAAGATCGTGGCCATCAAATTTTTTGTTGGAGGTGCTTCACCCTTACGACGCTACTCCATTGAGTCTTTTTTCGATAGAGGGTCATAATAGAGAACCATAGTTTCATCTCCCGTCACAATAGCCTCTATCACAGATTTCGGTTCCGACCCACAGAGTTCCAATAAAGACCGCGCACACTCGACACGGCGTTGTTTTTGAATAGCCGAAAGGTTTTTAGGAACCCATCTTGCACTAACGTTATGCATACCTAAATGATCTTGCAGGATTCGACGAGCACACACCTTTAAACGTCGATCACTCAATACCACCTCTTCCATAATCGCAACAATATCTTCCGTTATGACTCCTGCCCCATTCGAAAACGTTTTGCCCATTCTTTCACTACAGAATACGAAGGAGAATTTTGGCCGTACACACCATCCAGCCTTTCTTTAATAATTTTGGGTGCTAACCCTTCTTTTGTCAAAAACTTTATGACTCATGACTTTATGACTTAATGTACTCAATTTGCGTTATGTGCGAGATTGATTTTTTCGGACACGTTTTGTTTAAAATGCTGTCAATAAAAACTATGTGACGCAAGACTTCAATTTTTTTTTTCGCAGCCTACTAAGATATTTATTTAAATGAAGACAAAGTTTTATCCTGTTATTGGAGCTGCATCTGTCAGGCCGGGAAATTTTGACACTAACCTCGTATATCGTAATATTTTTCACTCACGTTCAAATGATTTGGATGCATTTATGATGGGATTAAATTAGCCCATGGTGGTTCTGGTATCAATTTGGAATGGTATCATTTATTATTCCAGTTCCATATTATGATCCTGATTAGTTTATTGAATATGTTTTTGCTTTTTTTTTGTTTTCACTGTTCTGCGTTTAGTGTAATTTAACAAGATTAAACACCTAATAATAAAAGAGTCCGTCCGTCCTGATAAAAACAGCATCTCCCTCTTTTTAAATCAACGTATACGGCCACAGAGTTGCTATAAACAAAGTAGACAGTTGAAGCGACTTCAAAATCTCCAATTAAAATGAATATTTTTGTAAAATTAATTATACTCGACGCATTACCTCAACTGGAATTATGTAAATTTTGCTTATGTTTGGTTTTTTACTCTGTCAACTTTAATATATCCATTAATAATGAAAACAAATAATAAGTAATAATAAATAAAAATAAAATACGAAATAGAGAACTTACCCCTTAAAAACTACCTAAATCTCTAATTATCTCGAATTTTTGAAAAGAATTAAAATATTTTTTGTATTTTGTAACCAAAAATTCTCTTAAATACAAAGAAGTCTCGTATTTAACATATCTGGATGTGAATCACACTTAATGAGTCAATATTCTCAATTAGTGAAGATATTTAAGATAAAAATTTAAAGTTTGGTGTCTAATATGTCAAATTTAGGAATTGCCCGTTCTTTATTAATCACTCCTCCAATTTTTTCCAAAAAATTCGAAATTTTGTTTGATTACTATTTTTGTGGCCAACGGAAATCGCTTTTCATCGATCGAGCTGCGACGAAGACGCCAAATAATTGTCAGTCGCCTCACACTTTAACAACCGAACACTCCACTTAGGGCCAAGTGACTTAATGAATGGAACTTGATTGGCGTTGCTTTGTCTCTGTCGTGCGTGTTTTCGCGTCTTTCTCGCGGTTGGCGGAAAGCCCTTTTATCCGCGAGGCCTCATACGGATTTTCGAGGACCGTAATGCGTCGTCGCACGTCCTCGCTCACTTTACGCGATACAAGAAAGATCATCATATTTTTTATAAGCTCCGCTGTCTCCAACAACTCGCCCAACCCCGAACTTATTAATTTAAATGGAGGGCATAAACTTCGTGTCAGATTCCTATATTGGTGACAGACCTGAGTCGCTGCATCTCAAACAGCTAATGAGACCGGAAAAATCCTTAAAAAATCAAAACGTCTTTTGCATTTTACTCTGCCAAACTCTCAGTGCTTCCAAATCTCTAGCCCCACCATCCAAGTTGTTTCTTTTCTATGAATTCTTCTAAGGATTCCTTTAACTTTAACTTTTCTGTTATATA